CGGGTCCACTGGTGGAACCTCTTCTAACCGGTTCGGTAGATTTGACGAACCGGTTCTACCGAATAGGTGCGAACTGGTAGGAACCCATCTCTGTCCTGGACAGAATATAAGGCCTAAGCATTCCAAATGCTTAAATCTACTAATGGCTAGTGCTCCTAATCAAAGCAGATCCAACACAGAATTATGTAAGATAAGGCCTATTCTTCCTTTGATTCTACTTCTTCTTCTTCTTCTTCTCATTACAGAACCAAAGTTCTTTAAAGGAACACTCACCAGTGCCACGACTCTCCAGAACAAGCCTTCAAATAGCCCAACCCCATTGTTCTCTGGCCCAACCAGGATCCGCCCGAAGAGACACACATGGGAGAGACCCGAGGAACAAGAATGTCAATTGCGAAGTCTGCTGGTTCGTATCAAAGATCTAAGTTTGGGCTACAACTCCGAAGAGACCATCCTTTTCAAGTATTGCAGTGGTACCTGTCCCAAGGCACACAGCAATCACGACTTGACCCTCTCAATACTGTTGCAGAAAAGCGAGATTGCAGCGCTGGGGAACCGCTGCTGCCGTCCTATTCACTATGAGAATGTAGCTTTTCTGGATGACAGCCACCAGTGGCATGAAGTGGAGAAACTCTCAGCCTCTGCCTGCAGTTGTATGGGCTGATGGTTACGGAGGGGGGGGAGAACGGATGCAGATTTATAAGGTAGCAGCGAAGCATGATTGTATATTTAGCTATAGAACAAAGCATCCGTCTCGTCCTCAGCACTTACACAAGCTTTTCAAGGAAGAATTGCAAGAAACCCCACCATGTGATGTTTACATCCTTCTCTTCAAGCATTCTACAGAATGATCCCTACTTAGCAGGAAACTGGGCATATAATCTATCAGTCCTTTCACACTCTTCCCAGATACACGTCACTTAAACACATTGCTGGCTCGACGGAATCCTGTCTAAATTAGATCTGAAAGGCTCAGGCAACCTATTCGAAATATTTATGGGTTATTTCTAATTTCTTTCTTTGAATTCAGGAACATGTCACTTGCCACGTTTAATATTAGACTCCCAATTAGAGCTCCCCCTTGTTATTGTTTTTTTAATTTATTTGTCTATTTCTTCTCTTAGAAGGCTGAAGTTATTAGTTCCAAAATTACATTATGAATGATTGATTGATATGTAAATACTGGTGTCAATTAAATAAAAAGTAAAGCAAAGAGAAAAAACAGCGTCTTTGTTTCTGGGGTCAGGATCATTCATTGGGATATATGTTCTGTCCCCCCCCCCCTCCTTCTCTCGTTAACAGACGACAGGCAAACAAACTTAAAAGGAACTCTCTTTATCAGTCCTCGGCTCAAACTGGCTGCGAGCCCAAAATAAAACTAAACAAAATCTCTGCCTGAAGATAACGGAATGCAAAACAAATCTCTCTTATGGCAATACAAGGTGAACGCAAAGCACTTCTTCAAATGTCTCTACGAATCAGGGTTACAGAAATCAAATCACTTCTCCAAGTGTCCATCCAAGAAACCACGACCGAGGATCAATGAACGTTGAACGTTGAATGAACATTGACTCCTGCAACCAGGGCGTGGCACCATCCTCCTTTCATCACCAGAAGACCCACTAACGAGCCCCAGCTGCATTGTTAATCTTGCCTCCCGAAAAGACTCACAGAAGCCTGCTGCTGAGTCACAACAGATATATATATATAGATATATAGATATATAGATAGATAGATAGATAGATAGATAGATAGATAGATAGATATAGATATATAGATAGATAGTATTATTTGCATTACTGAAGCCCCAAACATCTTAATGTTGATTACTTAAAGTCATTCAAAACTTCATGAAAATAAGCAGTCAAGATCATACTAAAGCCACATGCCTATATTTTTAGCAAAAGACACGTAGTACTTATTTTTAAAAAGAAAATATTGCTCATTAATCCCAACAAAGCTATCTCAGTCATTCCTTTTGTTTAACATAAGGGTGCACCACAGAGATGGTCAAAAATACTGCAGAGATATAACTTAGGGTTTCAAGAGGTTTATTTTTTTAGGAAATGGGGAGAGGAATAATTTTTAAAAACCACAGAGAAGAGATAGGGCCATACAGAATCAGGTGTTGTGTGTTGTAAATAGAATTGGATTCTACTCCTGAGCAATAGGAGATCACGGATTCATATTTCATATTTCACCCCATCCCAAATTATTCAAAGGTAAGTACTACCTATTTTCACATTCCTCAACACTTCCTTTTTTTTAATAATCAAGATTGTTCACTTGTCTTCCACTTCTTCATTTTACCTCTTTTCTCTTCAGCATTTTGAAGCCGCAAGTCAAAATGTGGAAATTTCTCCTACTCCCACTCCCTGAACACCCACCACAGTGAAATCCTCATTTAGAGAGATCCAATTTGGCTTTTTTAAATTTATGTTTAGGTACATAACATTAAGGCTAATCTTGTGCTTATGACACCTATCAGAATCATTCTGAAATTATTTAATTCACAGAAATGACAAAACATATTCAGTTTCAGCATCGATTGCGAGACAATTAAAAATTCAAGTACTTTCTTTACTCTTTGAAAAATTGGCAATACATTTTATAAGGAAATAATGGGGCAATTAGCTTAGGCCCCGCTCTCATCTACGTATGTGATGGTTACAAGCATCAAAGGTGTAATTTTCTTTTTCAGTCAAACACTTTTTATAGAAAGAATTCATAGCGCTGGAGAACATCTGTCTGCTTCACCAAGTTCACTATTTTGAGTTTCAGCGCATGTGATACATTTGAATACTAAACAGAAAAGAGAACAATGTTCAAGGGTTCAATAACTGGAAAAACAATTAAAGGATAATTTAAAAATTGCAATTCACCGAGAATCCCCCCCCCCTGCATATTTCAGTTCTTAATTTCATCTCTACCTCTGTTCGCAACAACACACATGACAGAAAAATGTTATTTCCTGAGATTAATAGTGTTGGGGTTTATTTTAGCCAGATCTACTTGCCAAATTGTTGCAGATTTCCTTCTTCCTACCTGTTAAGTGCAAGAAGCAGAACACTTTCTTAGAGTATGTATTCTTTTAGGCTCCCTTCACTGCATGGAGGAAAGGTTCCATCACTTACTTACTTGGACAGAAAACCAAAACTCTGTGGAACCACGTCAATTAGGCAAAAGAGTAAATTCCACTGGCAGCAACAGTTAGCCTTCACAGTATCACCTGTCAGTTCTAGGATGGTTCTGGTGGTAAGGGCAGGTTTCGGCAGATGACAGAGATCCTTCGTTCCCTCTCGACCTTCCTTCCATCGAAAAAGGACTCCTCATCTCTAAGAATTTCATGAGTGAATTCATAACGAGCAGGCCCTCTTTATTTGGAGAAGACAATTAGAGAAGACATCGGTTAAGTTACAACAACTTGGGAAACAGTTTTGCCCAAATTGACGCCATACCGAGCCGAGAGCCGGGGTGGCGCAGTGGTTAGGGTGCAGTACCGCAGGCCACTTCAGCTGACTGTTATCTGCAGTTCAGCAGTTCAAATCTCACTGGCTCAGGGTTGACTCAGCCTTCCATCCTTCCGAGGTGGGTAAAATGAGGACCCGGATTGTTGTTGGGGGCAATATGCTGACTCTGTTTTTTGCTGGGAGAAAGGAGTTTGTTTCATGCTCTTGGGAAGCCTCGGTCAGAACATACCCCTACTATTGTGTGCAGTCTTCGGTGGTGCAACTTACCCTTTCCAGAAGCTTGTTCTTCAGGAATGGCTTGACGACATTGTAGGTGGTGGTAAAATACCAAGGCTGGTGAATGAAATGAATGGCCTTGAATCGAGCTGGAAAGGAATCCTGGGAATTCCAAAGATAAATGTGAAATTATTTACATACAGGCAACTGAGTTATTGTAAATTTGATTTTAACTTTTGATTTTAACTTTNCCAGAATTCCTTAGCCAGCAGGCTTTAAGAGGGGTGGACTTCCACTCCCAGAATCCCCCAGCCAGAAGGCTTTAAGAGGGAAGGACTTCCACTCCCAGAATTCCTTAGCCAGCAGGCTTTAAGAAGGGAGGACTTCCACTCCCAGAATCCCCCAGCCAGCAGGCTTTAAGATGACTGGACTTCCACTCCCAGAATTCCTTAGCCAGCAGGCTTTAAGAGGGAAGGACTTCCACTCCCAGAATCCCCCAGCCATCATGCTTTAAGATGACTGGACTTCGACTCCCAGAATTCCCCAGCCAGCAGGCTTTAAGAGGGGTGGACTTCCACTCCCAGAATCCCCCAGCCAGAAGGCTTTAAGAGGGAAGGACTTCCACTCCCAGAATTCCTTAGCCAGCAGGCTTTAAGAAGGGAGGACTTCCACTCCCAGAATCCCCCAGCCAGCAGGCTTTAAGATGACTGGACTTCCACTCCCAGAATTCCTTAGCCAGCAGGCTTTAAGAGGGAAGGACTTCCACTCCCAGAAGCCAGCAGGCTTTAAGAGGGGTGGACATCCACTCCCAGAATTCCTTAGCCAGCAGGCTTTAAGAGGGGAGGACTTCCACTCCCATAATCCTCCAGCCAGATTGCTTTAAGAGGGGTGGACTTCCACTCCCAGAATCCCCCAGCCAGCAGGCTTTAAGAGGAGCGGACTTCCACTCCCAGAATCCCCCAGCCAGCCTGCTTGAAGAGGGGTGGACTTCCACTCCCAGAATTCCCCAGCCAGTAGGCTTGAAGAGGGGTGGATGTCCATTTGGAATCGAATAATTTTCTTAATAGATGGTGGGAATGCTGTGTAGACATAGTATATCTTGACTTCAGCACAATGTTTGACGAAGTACTGGGGGGTGGGAGAATGCGAAATATAGCCCATAATATGACCTGATGAAGTTATTTCTTCCTTTCCTCCTTAACCCTTTCTTTTTCTCGGTTTCTTTTTCGTTTCGTCCGGTCGCAGGTATCCCTACTCTTATCGTCTTGGACACTAAGGGAGACGTGATCACCCGGCAAGGCCGAGTCGAGGTCCTGAACGACATTGAATGCCAGGAGTTCCCCTGGCACCCCAAGCCTGTCTTAGAGCTTACTGACTCCAACGCAGTCCAGCTGAACGAGGGTCCTTGCCTTGTCCTTTTTGTAGGTATGTAGGCATTTTGTAGGTTTCTAGTCCTCATGATTGCAAAGAGAAACGTCCGCGGACAATTTCTTAGTGGAAGCAAAGACTTCTGTAAAAGTACTTAAGTTTGGTGAAGTTTCCAGACCTCATGATTGTAAAGAGATACCCGTGGGGACAATTTTCCGGTGGAAATGTAGTCTTTCTGTAAAAGTGATTAGGTCTGATGAAGTTTCTAGTCCTCGTTGCCAAGGGATACTTGTGGGGAGAATGTGGAAGTGCAGCTTTCTGTAAAAGTACTTAAATCTGATGAAGTTTCTAGTCCTCATTGCCAGGAGATACTTGTGGAGAGAATGTTGGAAGCGTACTTTTCTACAAAAGTACTTAAGTCTGAGTTAAGTTTCTAGTCCTCAAGCTTGCAAAAAGATACTTATGGAGACAATCTCCTGGGGAAACGTAGTTTTCTGTAAAAAAATAATAATACTTAAATACTGATTAAGTTTCTAGCTCCCCTGATTGCAAAGAGAAACTTATGGGACAGTTTTGTGATGGAAGTGTACTTTTCTGTAAAAGTACTTAAATCCGATGAAGTTTCTAGTCCTCCTTGTTGCAAAAGAGATGTTTGTGGAGGATGGTTGATGTCAAAAAGGTGAGGAGGCTGGATTTTAGATTCCTGCTGGTTAAGAAATTGAGTTATACTAAGTCTGCACTCTTAACGCCTGAGGGTTGATTAGCCATGATGTGCTCAACGAAGGAAAACATGTTTTGCGTGAAAAACCTCCCGCCACAGTATGGAATTTAGAACATGACGCTGCACATTATGGAATCGTAATTTGGAACAAACGAACATGCCGTAGCCTGTATATTTTGTGCAATATTTTGCATTAAATCCAATATCTTGCACTAAAACCCACAGGGTCAACGACTTTCTTAAGTGTGGCGGGGGTTCTTCGCCATTTTTCTGCCCGTTTAGGGAGTGTTAAAATGGTCGTTTGAAAAATATTTTCAGTGCCGTTAGGTGGAATTGCCATTGGAAATTCACTATAGATCGTACTTCACTGACCAACATTGGCTTAACAAACACTTGAAATTACGATGGTGCTGAAAAGAAAATAACTTAGGATGGGTCCTTGCAGCTAAACCCTTTGCAATGTCCCTGCAGACATTTCATCACAATTCAGGCACGGCTGCCTGTCTTAAATCAGGGAATTCTGGGAGTGGAAGTCCACCCCTCTTAAAGCATTGCTGGCTGGGGGATTCTGGGAGTGGAAGTCCACCCCTCTTAAAGCATGCTGGCTGGGGGATTCTGGGAGTGGAAGTCCACCCCTCTTAAAGCATGCTGGCTGGGGGATTCTGGGAGTGGAAGTCCATCCCTCTTCAAGCATGCTGGCTGGGGAATTCTGGGAGTGGAAGTCCACCCCTCTTAAAGCATTCTGGCTGGGGGATTCTGGGAGTGGAAGTCCACCCCTCTTAAAGCATTCTG